CCTTTTCCTGTACCCCCCCTCCACGCATTCCCCCCTCCTCTGCACTGGCTCCTCCCCCATGCCCTGTACTCCCCCATCCCCTCTCCCCTGTCCCTGCACTCACCCTTCCCTGGCCCCATCCCTGCACTCTCGCTTCTCCTGCCTGTCCAGTACTCTCTGCTCCACTCCCCCTCCCCGTTTCCGAAGTCCCCTCTCCCTGCATTCCCACTCCCCCATCCCGCACTCCCTCCTTCTCCCATCCTCCCATCCCTGCACTCCCCCTTCTCCCATCCCCTCACTCTCTCCCCCACTCCACCTCCCCAGTTCCCGAAGTCCCCTCTCCCTGCACTCCCCCCTTCCTTGGTCCCCATCCCTGCACTCCCGCTTCTCCTGTCTGTCAGGTACTCTCTCCCCCACTCGTTCTCCCCATTTCCAAAGTCCCCTCTCCCCACATTACCCCCCCATCCCACACTCCCACTTCTCTCCCATCCCTACACTCTCTCCCCCACTCCCCCTCCCCAGTTCCCGAAGTCCCCTTTCCCCACACTCCTCTCTTCTCTGGCCCCCATCCCTGCACTCCCACTTCTCCTGTCCTTTGCTCTCTCCCACTCTCCCTTCCCAGTTCCCGAAGTCCCCTATCCCCTCACTCGCCCCTTCCCAGGCCCCCATACCTGGAATTCCACTCACCTTTCCTGAGTCCCCACCTTCCCTGCACTACCATCCCACTCCCCTGCTCTCCTCACACCTCTTCCCCTTTTCCATATTCCTTATTCAGCCCATGTCCTTCCACCCTACCTCCTCCCACCCCACCTGGCTCCCTACTCCCCCCATTTGTCTCACCTGTACTTCCCTCTTACCATCCCCCATGTGAAAAATTCTGTAGCTCCTCTTAAAGTCTCCTGACTTATAGTACAAGGATTACTGAACTTTTTTTGTAAATGTCCAGATAGATATTTGAGGCTTTATGGACAGAGGATCTGCATCCCAACTACTTGTAGCATGTAAATAGCTATAAAACCATTAAAACTTTATTTACTGAAACAGCCATTTGGTGACTGGCCTTCTGGCACAGAGATAATGAGAAGCTAGATCCCACATGATATGGTAATAACATTTGAATCCCTGGCCTGGTCAGCCTGAAATGTGCCAGGCATACCTGCATACGCTGGAAATCCTATGGGCTGGAGACGGGAACATAGCATGACCAGACCCTATGGATAGTGCTTATCTCTCCCTCTCCTTCTAATGTGTAGATGCATGTACTCTATCATGAATAGAGAAAAAAACAACTCTTCAAAAAAACAAATAAAAAAACAGGTAGTTGGCATGATTTGACCTGTAGTTTGTCAACTCTTGACATAGAGTCACATTTCATGTATGTCCCAAAGACAGCTAAAATCCATATATTCATAATGTAACTCACCCTTTCCCTATATAAATAGAAATTTTAAAGAAATAAGATTTAACATACTTTATTTGAGCAAAGAGCGATTCATGAATTGGTCAGTACTCAGAACCATAAGAGGTATAGGGAGTACTACCTAGTAACAGTAGTGAGCTTTTGGAGGCCAACTTCCCAAGCAAAGTAGAGAAATCATCTGATTGGTTACCTTATTTGGGGCTGGAACTCAGCTGTTTAATTCCTAAGTTAGGCTTCAGTATGCTAAGTGAGATTGTGGTTTCTTAGGTAGAAATTCAAAGTATAGCCTTAGGCGGATGGACTCCTGCTTATTTAACACCTCAAACCAGCTCTTGGTGGTATTAAAATAAATACTGCTATGTTGCCGAATACAGAAACCTCAAGATCATGGAGACCTACTTCCCTTTAATAACAAATCAATTCATTCACCAAGTCTTGTTACTATTACCTCAGAAATTTCTCACATACCCATTCACACATAGGAAATGACCATGTTCTTCCTAAGTAATCTTTGTCTTTTATACTTTCCTAATTCCTAATTGCTTCCTAGTCTTTCTTGTGATCTTGCTACCTTTAAGTTTAAAAAACATTTGATGGCTCCTTGTCACATATACCTTATCCTGCATGAGAGCCTCACCCGAGACTACTTTTATATTTTAGCTCTTTTCGCTCTTTGCTTCCATTTTTTATACACTCAAAAGACTAAACTGTATAGATATACAGTCTTTAAAAAATATTTCTGATAAAGAGCATGTGTACATACACTAGAGGGAGGAGGAGAAGCACCCTGGACATGGTGTTGTCAAGCTGTGATCCTTTTTTCCCCAGTCCTGCTAGTTCATTAGGGTCTTGGACAGACATGCAGTCATCCATTGTGTTTTTAGCTTGACTGGAGGTTCAAACCTGCAGCTGACTATGTAGTTTCCAGCACTGCAGTTCAGATTGCTATTGATTGAGCCTTCAGGCTTGGCCTCATTTTGGGCTTTGAGTTATTCCCCTCCCCCCCAAAAAATGAGGATATTAATTATTTTTATATGGGCATTATATTATGTTCTGTGACCTACATTGAAAATGATAATATTTCTTCTCTAAGTGTCTTAGATAGTGAAAATAAATCAGGCATTAAAGCATTATCCAAGAAGATGGTTAAACCCAGAGGTACAAAATGTCACTGTTTATCTCTCTTTTTAAATGCTGTCATGTGTTTTCTATTTACACTTGCATATTTTATTTATCAGCCATCAATGTAAAGGATTCACTTTTTTGCTTGTTCTGTAGTGACTTCTGCAGAAAGAACACTCAGGAAATAATGTAGAAAATGGAATGGTGATGAAAGGGAGGGGAGAGATTGGAGTCAGAGAGATCTTTTAGGAAGGTGCCTTGACAATTTACGAGGTAAGCTAAAGTAGTGGAAGTAGGGATGGATAAAAAAACAAAACAAACAAACAAACAAAAAAACAGAGAGAGCCATTTGGTAGGTCGAATTCATTGGTATGTAAGGGAAGAGAAAGAGAGAATGCCTAGGCTAATTTCCTAGTTTATGGTATAGAAGAGTAACTACATAGTGATGCTACAGACTTAGTTGGAGAATGAAGTGATTTTATGGAGTGAGTTCACCTTTAGACATACTGATGCTGAGATACCTGTTGAGCATCCTCATGGAGATATCCAGTGAGAAGTTTGCTATATGAGTGTAGAATTTAGGAGAGACTTCAGTACTAGAGATGTGATATTGAGAAGTGGAAATTGAATTCATAGCAGTGGTTAAAAATCCAGGGATAGGTTATTAAGCAAGAGAATAGAGAGCTGAAGACAGAGCTCTGGGTTGCCTTCATGGATTTCTTCCTTTTTACTGTCTAATGTTATTGGTGGCTTTACAGTTGCCCTCAATCCTTACTCCTTTGTGTTCTCTTCTCAGATCATCTTTTACCCTCTTTTATTTCATCTGTAACACTTTAAACATGGACTTCGACTTGTGGTTATTTTCTTTTTATGTTCCCATCCTTCTAATTATGCTTATGAATATTTTTAGAATATTCAACGTAAAATTAGGACTAGCATATGGCATAATGGTTACATCACTGGACTCCTATGTAGTTGACTGTGATTTGAACCCCAGACCCGGCAGCTTAAACTCAAGCCAGGCATGTGTGTGTGCAAGTCCAAAATCCAGAGAGGAGAATGGAGAAGAAGAGATTATGGTGTGGCCATCCTCCTAGGGGGTGACTTCTCACTTTCTCTCTCTCACTTGCTCTCTCTCTCTCTCTCTGGCAAGTGAACATGTCCTATAGCAAAAATCTCTCTCTCTCTCTCCCTCAAAAAAAAAAAAAACCCAGAATATTCAAAGAAAAATGTTTCTTTTGGGCAAAGAAAAGAGAGAAAATGAAGACAAGGAAACTTGTGGGAAACTACTAGAAAAACTACAATTCTTAGTTATACATGATTGCATTGTCAAATACATATATAATGTATTACATTTTTTCTTGAGTATGTATCTTACTTTAATATTCACACTCTAAGTAAATCATTGTTTTGAATTCAGGGTATAGGATGTGTTGACGACAAAATTTTATCTTGAGTGAGTTGTTTTTAGAATACATATAATATTTGCTTTATCCCAGTCCATAAGCTACTTAAAAAAAATACAACAAAATGGAAACAAAACTTCTTGATTCACCTTTATAGTTTGGCTGAGGAGTAAAATAAATGATTTGGTAATAGGGGTGATGATTCTAAAATAGGTTAATTTTTATTGGATACTTAGTATATGCCAGGTACTATAATAAGTAATTTGATTACACTACCTTATTGTTGAGAGAGAATTCTCCATGGGTCTCTCGCAATTTTGTATGTTTTGTGAGCAGACTATCATTTGTCCTGGATTCTATTTCAAAGGTTTATATGTAGAAAACTGTCTTGGAGGGTAGAAATAGTGTCTCCCTCCAGAGCAAAGGGCAGCTTTGCTTATAGCCTTGGAAAATAAAATTTTATTTTATTTTTGAATTAATTTCTTATTTGCAAGTGAGATCTCAGAGC